TATGTTTATTTATTATGTTTTGATGGGACAGCCCGTCATGATTGGTAGCTTAAGCTTTTGATGATGTTATCAAGGTGGACAAGGTCAATTTCCCCTACCTTTTCTAATTTGAGCTACAACTCGGGAACCAAGCAACCAATTTCAAATTTTTAAAGTACGGTTGGAAAGCTAATAAATTCTCCTGTGAATAACTCTTATTAATAACGCCTTTACTCATGACCATTTTTGTCATATAGGGCATAAATCAAAGAAAAAGTCCCATTTTTACCACATTTTAATAAGGTTTACGGCACATGGCGCTTTAGCTAATCCAGACCGTCAACCAACGTATATTAGGCAATTGTAGCTTAATTCTCTTGCCTTTCCCGTGAGCCGCAGCACAAAGAAATTCATTTTGATGTGCCACAATTAAGGCCATAAGAACGAATTCATTTTCTTCCTATTCAATTGTGTTTCTGTCCCGGAAGGTTAGCAGAGATCAGAAATGTCTACATCGTGGATCAGTGGTTCTTTTTCATACGGAAACCCTGTTCGGTTGCAAACAGAGGGGGCTGAGATTGTGCCTGGGGTCCCCACCACCAGACACCTGCTTGTACGGACAAACATCTGCCGTAAACTTGGGTAGAGCCCTTGCTGTGGCCTTTCCAATCCATGCAGGTAAACCAGATTACATATAGATCTGCTTACAAGTATCCCATACAAATGGATGTCTGGAGGCAGGGACAGGAGTATAAGCCTGCTCTCCTTTAAGCATGCAGAGTTATTCATACTGCGAACATAATCTCCTTTGTCACAATGCTCCCTCTAAACTATGGAGTCTTATGAGTAAAAATTCTACTTTGTGAGCTACTGGCATTAAAGCTGTGAGTGAGTGATTTGGCTTCTGCATGAGGTAGTTTGTTTCTGAGCTAAGACAACAATGTGTGAGCCAGAGGCTAAAAAACTGTCGGCTAGCTCACACTAAACTCAGCTTAAGAACTTAAGAGAAGCCAATGTTGGATCAGGCCAATGGCCCATCTAATCCAACACTCTGTCACACAGTGGCCAGAAATACCAGGTACCATCAGGAGGTCCAGCAGTGGGGCCAGGACACTAGAAGCCCTCCCACTGTTGCCCCCCCCCCCCAAGCACCAAGAATACAGAGCATCACTTGCCCCAAACTGAGAGTTCCCATCTATACCTTGTGGCTAATAGCCACTGATGGACTTCTGCTCCATATGCTTATCTAATTCCCTCTTGAAGCTGTCCATGCTTGTGGCCGCCGCCACCTCCTGTGGCAGTGAATTCCATGTGTTAATCACTCTTTAAGCTTAAAGGGAACACTGGTTACCACATCTCTGTCTTGCATTTTGTGTGCATTTGCTCTTTATTATTTGGTGCAAGAAGGGTGGAGAAATAAGCATTGCTGTCCTCAGTCTGCAAGGCCAGCCAAGGGCCTATCTGTCGATCTTTCCCCTTCAATTGGCCCGACACTCTGCCTGCTTGTCTGCACAAAACAAGCATTTATCTCTTTCACATCTGGCAAGTAGGGGCAACCTCCCACTAGGGAACGGGCAAATATAGCCTGTGCTGAGTTGTCGTCTCTAACCCCCACACACACAGAAAAACCAAACATGACAATCAGTTCTGGCAGGAATATTGGTTAACTTTTGTGGTTGAACAATGTCCCTGTCAGGCGCATACCACTTTCTCGCCTCACTGCTGCCCCTTCTGCTACTTGGGGGGGGGGAAATGAAACCGGACAGTGCTAGTGTAACTGTCAAATGGGAAGGCTTCACACGTGTCAAGTGTCAGAAGTAATTCAAATCCAGTTTTGAGGATTTGCCATATTTATGGGTTGGTGTCGTTTGGGTCATATCTCAATTGGTAGTCTTCTGAGTGCACACCTCCACCATGTTTCCAGCAGCTGAGAGTCAGATGCTTTTTGGGTTCACAAGGTGGGCAGAAAAGTAACATCTGGTACTTAGAGACAGACTGCCCCTGTGCATGGAGGGTCAATGTAGCCTATCATTCTAATAACTGCTGTGGATGCCTCTCCTCCTCCATGCGCTTAACGCCTTTTTTAAAAAGCCGACTAAATAAGCAGCCACCCCCCCATCTCTTGTGGCAGCAAATCCCATAAGCTAATTACGTGCTGTCTAGGGAAAAAATGCTTCCTTTCAGCTGCAGATACTTCCTGTGCCAGTCTGTAGTTCTTGCCTCACTCTACGACCAAAGTTAAATCTAAGCAAAGCCTAATCCCTTCTATTGGCGAAGTGAAATAAATTATTTTCCTCTTTGCTGATCTCTGGGTGCCGTGGCTCAGGCTACAAGGGATCTCTTTGTTTTTTTATTATTACATATTAAAAAACTTTATAGCCCAATTTGTTTCTTCGTGTTGTTGGAGGTTCCCCCTCCCTTAGAAATAACTTGATTTTTCATTTTTTTCCTGCCATCAATTACTGGGTCTGTCTTCTCTCCCGTTCCGTAAGACGGAGGAGCTGAGAGACTGATCCTGCTCAATGGGATATAATTTAATATTATTTGCACCAGGTTTATGAAGTGGAAGTCAGATAAAACACAGTATTTGAACAGTAAACCATTTATTACTTCTACGAAACAGACTTACGAGTTGATACACGGACAATAACTCTGCTTTTTGATCATCTGGAGAGGCCTACTTGGAGTTCCAGGCACAAACCAATGGACCTTTTTGCCGATAATGTTGTTTACTGATGTGACGGGATTTTAATAATAAACTTGATATATATGTAAATTTATTTTAATCTAATTTCATCAACCTGAGCCCACCTAAAAATAAGAGCTTTTTCTCGGTGATTGGATCGAGCTGTGATTTATACCTTTCCACTTCCTATTCCCAGATTGATTTCCAAGTCCTAATTCTATCTGGGGTTTTTCTGCTCTTGATGTCAGAAACACAGTCGGCTGCAGAGCGCCATGGTTTATAACCTGTGCTGTGAGCCAGTGATTTACAGCCTGGCTTCCCCGCCAGGCCGCTAGATGCGCTTCTGCTGATCATTTCTCTCCTGCCCGGCACACGCTGACAGAAGGCGTCGGTCCCGGAATCAATTAGGTTTCAGCAACCCCTACAATTGGCCCCTAATGAACGCCAGATCCTGTGCTCAAACACAAACACACAACTCCCATAAGACTTGGTGGGATTCTCCACATGCGCGGCATGACCCCTGCAGTCCATGAGACCCCTTCGTCTTCACAGGGCCTGTCCCTTGCAGTGGAAGGCTCTCTTGGAACATGGCCCTAGAACCAGAGGGGATCTCTAGGGATGCCAGCCTCCAGGTGGGACCCGGGGAACCCCTGGAATTACAGCTCATCTCCAGACTACAGACATCAGTTCCCCAGGAGAAAATGGCTGCTATGGCATTGTACCCCACTGAGGTCCCTGTCCTCCCCAGGCCCCACCCCCAAATCTCCAGTTATACAACAACTGATTGTGTGAACTGACTCCATTGAAAAGGGTTGTGTTATAGAGGACACTGACTGGATAATATGAAAAATGAATGTGAGTGAGGCATCACCAATCTAAACATATGAATTCATACGCGAAGCTGCCTTCTATCAGAACTTTTGGCCCATCAAGATGAGTATTGTCTACTCAGACTGGCTGTGGTTCTCCAGGGTCTCATATATTGTCTGCTCAGACCGGCAGCAGCTCTCTAGGGTCTCGGGTAGAGGTCTTTCGCATCACCTGCTGCCTGGCCCATTTTAACTGGAGATGCCATGGAGATGCCAGCGACTGAACCTGGGATCTTCTGCATATGAAGGAGATGCTCTGCCACTGAGTTACAGCCCCCTGAATCATCTCTTGATGCCACAGTCAGGGGTCATTTCCTGCAGGAGCACACAGGAGCGGAGCTCCGGCAGTAAGGAGCCCATGGGGTGGGCACATGCAACAAGCCCCCACCCCCTGCTCCCAACAGCCCTCAGTCGGGCCACAAGGAGCAAGAAGCAGCCAGGTATGTTGCAGAGGGCCCCCCCCTCCATCCCGCCTTCAGGTACAAGCTCTCCCTCCTCTGTGAGGGCAGATCTGCGCGTTCCCCCCCCCCAATAGCTAGCAACCCAAAACAGTCCAGTGGAGCCTGAGCGGTGGGTGTTGCCTTCTGACACACTTCCGGTGATGCCAGGGGGTGTGGCATATGCAAATAAGTTATGCTAATGAGCCCCTGCACCTCTTTTTCTATTAAATGACCCCTGGCCACAGTTAGGAAGAGTTGTACATTTATGAACGGGCGGAGAGGAAAGCGATGTGCTGAAACAGTTGTGGGAGTGGAGCAGGGAAAGCCAGTAGAGAGGACTCACATGATGGGGATGGGGAAGAAAGGAGAACAAATGTCCCACAGCTGGCCCTGGGGCAGGCTACGAAGGAAGGAGTGGCATTCTGCCTCCAGTCTGAGCGCCCAGGCTCCACATGCCAGTTTCATGTCATTTTGGCATACCTGAGGGACCGCCTTCTCCCACATAGGCCCCAAAGAGCACTTCGGTCAGGGTCGCAACACCGCCTCGCTACCCCGGGCCCTAAAGAGGCCAGGCTTGCTGCTACAAGGGCTAGGTCCTTTTCGGTGGCGGCTCCTATCTGGTGGAACGAGTTCCCGGAGGAGATCAGGGCCCTGCGGGACCTGTTACAGTTCCACAGGGCCTGTAAGACGGAGCTCTTCCGCCAGGCTTTCGAATAGGAGCCGCCGCCGTCACCACTACCACCAACAGGGGCCGTATAGCAGCACTCCCGGAGACTGAGTGGCCGATTAACATCGGGGGGCCACAGTAACCCCCCTTGGAACGGGCATGTGCAATATGAAGAGAGGTTTTTAGTCACGCAGGATCCTTGGGCGTAGCCCAGTGTATTAATTGTTTTAAATTGTTTTATTGTGTTTTATTGCACTGAGTGCCTTACTGTTGTAAGCCGCCCTGAGCCCGCTTGCGGGGAGGGCGGGGTATAAATAGAATTAAATAAAGAAATAATAATAAATAAGGGCCTCGGTTACCTGTTGGGAACGATTCCCACATTCCTCATCAGCCTCGCCTGGTCCTCGTCCCTCGGGAAGCCGTGCAGCACCCAGCCTCGGAGGTGGCAGTCCAGCCTGTTCAGCCGATCCAACAGGACCTTGATGACCACGTTGTCTGCGACTGAAGAAAAGACAACATGCTTTTAGCTGGTGTCGGACACCTACGCGACTGATGCACGCGACACCTTTTAAAAAGAGACGAAAAGGGGGGATCTTGCTTGGTTTGAGGGACATTGCTTGTGACGTGCAAGGCTGAAGGAAGCAGGGAGGGGAGAGACGGTCGTTTCAGGATGCTCCCCTGATCGACGCAAGCAACGAAAGGCACAGGGCCTCTTGTGGCACTGAACGTGCGACCATGCCAAGTCCCTGCCAAAGTGAAGCCCTGTCTTTGGAGTGACTGGGATTTGAGATAGAACCAGACCAACCTGGGCTTGGCGGACCTGTGCTGCTACCGGGGGCTGCTGTGTGGCTGGGTGGAATTGTGTTGCTGCCACTCCCGGCTGGCTCAGAGGAGTGGGCAAAGGGGAGGGCTGCTCCGACGTGACCAGAGGGCCTTGGCCAAGCCTGGAGGCTTGTGGATGACTTCGTTTGTGCGGACGACCTCGTGCAGCAGCGGATGGGCTTGGACTGTTTCCATGGGGAGTTAAACCTCTGGGGTCCATTGGGTTGCCTTCCTGGAGGTTTGAGTGTGTGTGGGAGTTCCAGGGTGGAGGCGCTTGTGGGCCTCAGACCTTTTTTGGTCTCTAGCTCTGCTAGGGGCCTTTAGCCCATGCCAGCAGTTGCCATGAAGTGCCCTGGCTTGGGGAACTGCTCGGCCCCTAACGAAAGACCTAGGAGCAGACGGCCCAAGGGTATTAAACAGCTGCTACTCCTCTGTAAGGGCTATGAGCTGCAGGATCATTGCTCTGGAGATGGGACTGTGAAGCCACCGACCTCAAGATTACCCCAATGACGCATGAACATCTATTCGCTGCTTTAAGTTTTTTAATTTGAAATTAAATTGGGCTAATTAGGTCTAGTTAGGCAGTGTGGTAGGGACATTATTCCCACCCATTATATAATTTAATTAGATAGACTAATTTTTCTTACTTAGTGGTAGGGAGGGAGAAGAAAAAGAGATTGGATTTGTACCCCACCCTTCACTTGGAGTCTCAGAGCAATTTACAATCTCCTTCCCTTCCTCTGAGGTAGGTGTGGCTGAGAGAGCTCTGAGAACGGTGACTGACCCAAGGTCACCCAGCAGCTGCATGTGGAGGAGTGGGGAATCAAACCTGGTTCTCCAGATTAGAGTCCGCTGCTCTTAACCACTGCACCAAACTGGCTCTCACAAGTAAGAGGGGAGGCTTGCATTGGGGGAAGGTTGGTAAGTGAGAGCTAGTTACTAATCTTGCCTATTTGGATGTAGATTTGATGTTGTTTAGACCATGACTGTTATTGGAATTATTGGAATTACAGAGCTGCTAGAGTGTGGGCTGCTGTTGTGGGTGTGGGGAGAGTGTTCGATTCCCCATGCATTCGAATAAATCCACGGTTGATGAACAAAGTAGAATTTATTGTAAATCGATGGTTAGATCAGGAACACAAGAATTGTTAGTAATGACTACAAGGCTCATAGGGAAACATAATAAAGGAACTTGAACCAGGTTAGAGCCAATGAGCCCAATTCCCGCTGGCGGGAATGTAGATAAAACGAGCGCCCAATTCCTTGGGAACCCAACGGTTCTACAACATAAACACAAGTTCAGTTCTCAGGCATCAAATACATAATAAGCAGAGCAACGCCATAACTCCTTCCCACCTCCAGCTGTGTGACCTTGAGCAGTTCCGCAGCGTAGCAAGCAAAGACAGTAAACACCTACTCAGGAAGAAACATGGGGGGGGGGAAATGACCAGAGCATAAGGTAACATGTAGAACAGAGCACACCACTTAATGGCAGCTTGCTGACAGAGAGGAGGGAACAGGTAGATGGAGCTGGATAACATCAGCATTGGACTGGGGATCCCAGTGATCGGGGCAGAGGGAGGTATGGTGGTGGTGGAAGGTGGTGGAACGGAAGGAGAAGGAGATATGGTTATGTGCAGTCCACCCTCTATTTCCATCTCTGCATAGAAGCCACTGCTGCCAGAAATTCACCCAAAGCCAAAGTAATATGAGGATCGGTATCAGTGAGCTGGGAAGGCACAGAAGCAAGGGAAACCTTGGAAACTATCACCGGCTGTACTCACAGACCTCTCCAAGGGTCAGTCAACACACAATCAACGCAAATACGAGACAGAGTTTCAATCGCCCCAGACCCTCATACACATAATCTGTCCCAGTAAGGTACTGCTTGGAACCTACTCATGAAAACAGCAGAGGAGAAAGCATTTAGCTTAGCCAAAAGAAAAGCCCTCTGATATTTGGGGACAGTCAGCTGATGAGAATAAGATGGGCTGGTAAGCGGAGATGCAATTACCGAAAAACAGCGTAGAGAATACTTTACTAGAAGCAGAGACAGCCATAGGACCTGGGCAGCCCTCTGCAAAGAGGCATTCCTGAGGGGGTACCTGACACCCGCACCATTTTGGAGACGTTCTTTGCTTATTTTTTTTTTTTAAATTCTGGTTCCCAGTTGATGGAGAGTGCATTTTAAAAACGATCCAGTAGTTTGTGATTAATCAATTAGCTGAAGAAAAATTGGCAACCTGTGCTAGTAGACTGTCCCCTTGACACAATACGGGGAACCTTGCTTGTAGGGTCACTCAGGAGCATTACACTGTACCTCAGTTGCCTTTGGAGCCATCTCACTTGGACCATTTCTGCAGTGGCGAAATTCCCTGCACTGACGTTTTTAAAACTGTGTGTTGTGACATTTTCCACAGTAGATTTTTCCTCAACAGGCACAAACCCGAAGTTTTCTTCTTACCCTGCGTTCTGAGAATCCCCCGTTTTAGCGAGTTCTGAAAATGTGGGGTAAGGAGGAGAAAACTTTGGGTTTGCGCCTGGTGAGGAAAAACCTACTGTGGAAAATGTCACATGATGCACAGTTTTAAAAATATCAGTGAGGGGAATTTCACTACTGAGGAAATGGTCTTTTTTTTTTTTTAATAAAGATTTTATTGACTCCCCTAAAAAGGGGAGGTATTTCGCTTAAAAGAAAAAATGGGAAGGGTAGACAGTGGGAGAAAGAGAAAGCTGAGTGATATATAAACTGGTAAATTAAACTGTTAGTAATGTCCAATTAATCTTCTTGGGCTTCTTCTGTGTGTTGTCAAACTTCTTTTCTTAGTCCGGTCACGTGTAATTCTCTGTTAATATGTTAGTAATGGACTGCAAGAAGAACAAATCAGTCAATCCTCAAAGAAATCAACCCTGACTGTTCCCTGGAAGGCCAGATAATGAAACTGAAGCTAAAATACTTTGGCCACCAAATGAGAAGGGAGCACTCACTGGAGAAGACCCTGATGCTGGGAAAGATTGAAGGTCAAAGAAGACGGGGACGGCAAAGGATGAGATGGTTAGACAGTGTCATCGATGCAACGAACATGAAGTTGAGCAAACTTCAGAGGATGGCGGAAGACTGGAAGGCCTGGAGGGAGCTGGTCCATGGGGTTGCAAAGAGTCGGACTCGACTGTGCGACTGAACAACAACAATGTTCCTTTGAATTTCTGTTAATTAAAAAAATCTCTTCTGGGCACATTCAGAACCGCTTCTTTGCGTGCTGGGTACTTTTACTATCGCTGATGTGGAGGAGCTTCCTCTGTTGTCTTCTCCTTCCGGCTTGTTAGATCCTCCTTCGGGTTGCTGTTAACACACTCAGTTCATGCACTATAAATCCTCTTCCTTTCATGCCATTATTGGAGGTCCCCAGCTTTGAGAATGGTATTAATTTCATTTTCGCTTTTATATCCGCTCCCATACTCTCTACTGGGTTACTGAGGAAATGGTCTTAAACAGACACACTAAAGTTGTAACAGCACAGCAGACTTTTGTAAAAGCCAGGATATGGCGAGAGGAGAGGAAGAGAAGAGATCTGCATTCCTTCCATTACCCTGTGATTAAAAAAACGCGCAGGTAGCAATGTATGGTACATCTCCTGCTCATCCACATGGGACTTCCTTGAGGTTGTCAGGAAAATTGGATAGTCTCTATAATTGCCAGTTAGGTAGACTAGAAAGCTAGCCCAGAATCTCTTGGCCTCAAGTGTGCGACTAGTAAGCAAAGTTGAGTTCAGAATCCTCCTGATGAAGTCGTCAATCCTTGTGCTTTAAGGGGATTGTGACGCACAAGAATTTCAACCCATCAATTCCCTTTCATCCGAACTGTGTTTCAACCTCTGTCTCAGAGCAGGAAGGAAATTAGTCTCTATAGAGAAATCTCTAGCCTTTAACAAAAGTCCGATAGATTTTTTTTAGGTGGAGAGTTCAGAAACTGGGTTTAAAAAGGGGGGATATGACAGGTATGGAGACAGGCATCTGGTGGAGCAGGGGTCAGAGACAGGCAACAGGACGGGAGAGGACCCCAGAATCAAAATCAGCGCCAGGGCAGATTCTGACCCATGAGAGCAGTCCAAGGCTAGGAAGAAACATGGTGAAGATCAGGCTGGAGGGGGTGGTAGTCAGAATCCACAAGGCTCAGACTGAAGGGCCCAGCCTGGAGGCGGCAGCTTTATACCCCCCAGGTTAGGTCTGATTGCACCCTTCCGTCAGCTGATCCATGCTGCTCTCATTCACCCCCTCCTGGCAGGGTATGCCTCCTCCATTGGCCATCTTGAGGACGGCACTGCGGTGCAGGGGAAATTTGGCCCGCAGCCAGTTTGGTGTAGTGGTTAAGTGCGCGGACTCTAATCCGGGAGAACTGGGTTTGATTACCCACTCCTCCACTTGCACCTGTTGGATGATCTTAGGCAAACCATAGTTCTGGGACAGCTGTTCTTGAAAGGACAATTCTCTCAGAGCTCTCTCAGCCTCACCAGCCTCACAGGGTGTCTGTTGTAGGGAGGGGAAGGGAAAGGAGTTTGTAAGCCGCTCTGAGACTCCAAGTGAAGGGCGGGGTATAAATCCAATCTCCTCCTCCTCCTCCTCCTCCTCCTCCTCCTCCTCCCTATATTTTGGTGTTACTATTGTGATTGATGTGCAGA